GAAACACCTAAAAAACATACGCTTTTCAAAAGTTCAAAACGACGCTTTGCCGCGGGCAGATCAGTTTCAGAGTAGAGAATATACGTAGCTCAGGGTTGAATCGTTGGGCTCTCGGGGTGGTTTGCACGGGGTTTTTTTTGCAGACCGTTCGCTACCGGGCTAGGTAGCACCATCCATGCACGGGGGAGTAAATTTTGCTGGTTGTTTAGAGAGAGAGAAGGCCAGTGGCTGCATATAAAACAACCAGCAAACCCCGCTCTCCCTTGCGCTGATGGAGTTACCTCTTTGGGTGATGAAACGTCTGGAGGAAAACCGCGGAGAAGACCCTAACTGCATCCAATCATCGTGGCGAAATGACGTGGCCACGATGCCCGGAGGAAAATAATAATAATCAAAAGCTCCTAGGTGGCCCCGTTCAGCTTCTCCGCCGCCCTCGAGACCCTGAACTGCATTCAGTTTCACCCGCTGCTTCGCCGGGGCCACGGGGCTGTGTTCAACTCCAGACAACCACGTGCTTAGGAGGCGTAGAGCACCGAGCTGAGCTCTGAACCTGGGAACCCACTGGAGGGGCCCATGTTTTGGAGGCATCTCCAAGACCTACCAGGTCCATGATCTGCATAAGACTCAGAGTGAAGTGGACGGTGATGGCTTGCGCGTCGTCCCCCACCGGTCTCTCCAACGGGATGTAATCGTCCATCAGCTCCTTCAGCAGCTGCCGCTGGTGAATGCCTCCTTCGGAGTCTGCAAACCAAGAGACAGGAAGAGCTGGACACGTACGATGAGCAGAACTTCGGGATCTAGAACTCGGGGAGTTTTTCTCCCGGAACCTCACGGTCTGCCAAAGTCCATCTCGGGGCAAAATAGGGTTTAGGCAGTTGACTTATACTGAAGATTAAAGAAAAAGGATGCTTCTGAGCAACTGGAAGAACTCTGGAGAACTTCTGGCCTGTCTGAAGAGCCAGGTGGGCATTCTTGCACAGAGGGGGCAACTCTGCAGCCTGGCAGGGTGAAAACAAGCTTTTGGGAATTAGGGAACCGCAGATCTGGTTATCTCTAACGCACCATGTAGTTTGGGTGTGAGATGCAAGCCAGCAAGGGGGTAGAAAAAGACGGCTGCACTGGGCAAAGATGAAGGAAGAAGAAGGGGGTGGAGAAGATCTAGGAGGCCCCCAGAGCCTTTGGAAGAGGCATGGATTGTCATGGGGCCAGATCCAGCGGAGGAACCAAGCGCCTATCCACATTCCCACCAGGAACTGAGCTCCATTCGATATTGTTGGAATCAGAAAACTGGACTCAACTGCCCGATCGAGCAAAGCTGCTTTTGGCTTCTCCAAAGGTTAGGACCTGGAGCAAAGGTGGGGCTTGAAATAATCCATCTGATCTGATGGATAACCTCGAGCCCCCGGGACTCAAAGGGATCGTGCCTCTGGGCCTGATTCCCACAGACCCATTGAGGCTATCGGTCCTTGATGGCTCCTGTGATTTTTCAGGACCAACCCTCTCTTGAAGCCGTTTATCAATAGCCCCAGCACATCTGGCTGGCACATTTCTCAAAACCTGTGCTTGATGTTCAAAAAAGGCCCAGATTTCAAACACCCCCCCCATCCTACAGATTTCCCCCCACCCCTCCACAAATTGCAGCACGGAAGGAGGGGGGAAACCCAAGCCTCTTCTCCATTCCAGCTCCGCTAATGCAAATTCGCCAGCGGAGCTGATCCTGCATGGAAGGCAGGAAAACAGAAAGGGGGGCAGAAGAATGCAGCCCCCTTTGAGGTCCTCAATTAAACCCCCAGAGCCCCCATCTGGTAAAGGAGCAAGAGGCTCAGTGTCAAACTGAACTCAGTGGGCAGAAAACTGCGCGGGGAGGACAGCAAAGGAGACGGTCGGTCGCGTTTGTTTTCGTGCCTGCAAAGTCTAACACCCCCAAACATGCACGCAGGCCGATGAAGGCAGAGCATGACTAAATAAAACACACACACACACACCAGAGGCTCAAGGGGGGTGTTGTTCTTGCTGCCCATCCCCAAACCGCGAACGACGTCTCCAGCCAAGCTTGGATTGTGGACGCGAAGTAGAAAAATCCTTTTTTTCCCAGCATGTCTGAACACCGTGCAGGGAAAACTCTCACGGGTGTATAAAATCTGGGGTCTGTCCCCCGAGCCCCGTGGATGGGTTCTCGGCGGCCACCTTTCGGGGCTTCTTAAAGGTGATCCACCCGCCCTCGCCGGGTTATTTCGGAGAGGTGGGCAGGACCCGTGGGTGGCGGGTGCCCCCGAGAGAGAGAGAGAGAGAGAGAGGAGCCAGGTTGGAGGGGAGGACAGAAATCAAGTCGGTTACCTTGAAAGAGAAAGAAGATGCTGACGGCCAGGAGGCGAGCGGAGGACTCCCTCGGCATGGCCGGGCTGCAAGGGCTGGCTCCCGCCGCCCGAGTCCTTCCTCCCTGGAGCACGGAGGAGATGCGCAGCTGAGAAAAGGAAGCAGAGCAGATCTTTATTTCGAGAGGGGCGGAGAGCAGGAGACTTCCCCTTCCCAGCCACCGGCATCCCGGAGTTGCATCGTCCCGCTCGGCTGGAGGGCCCAAGGCAGCCCTTTCCAGATCAGCGGCAAGGGGGTGGAGTAGCCCCCCTTCCCTTGGAAAGCCCCCACCCGGGATCCGCTTCGAGAAGGGGCCCAGAGGCAGGGTCTGGTGGACGGATGCACTTACAGGCAAAATGGAGACGCTGCTGCAACGGGGAGGTCCGGGTCCCAGCCCGGCAGGGGGACATGAAGAAGGGCCGGGGGGGCGTCCAAGCAGCCGTCCGCCCCGAACATCACCAAGGCGCCTCTTGCCGCAGGATCGCCTCCATCCTTCGGCCAGGCAGGCGGCGAAGGAAGCAGGACTTCCCCGGCTGGGGGGTGGGAAAGCCCCCTCGCAGAGGCAGGGAAGGGGGCCCTGGGAGGGCCCCCACCCCGCCCCCATCCGACTCGGGGCCTCCAGAACCAGCAGCAACCCAGGAGGGACCCACAGACGTCTCCTGCGATGAAGGCTCCTCTCTGGCCCCTCCTTGGGTGGGAATTCTTTTCCTTTCACAAAGTTCCTCTTGATAAACCCAACTTTTCCCTCCCTTAATGCGGGAGGCCTAAAATGCAATGCCCCCTCCCCGGGGAAGACCCCCCTCTGCCTTCCCTTCTCCCCCACTTCCTTAAACCCACGTCCCAGCCAAACGCCTTTGCCTTTTTTCCACCTCCTTCGAGAACATGACTTTGCTTATGGACGGGCCAAGATCCCAGCCAAACGCCTTGTTGTTTTAATCAGCCAAGTTCCTAGTCCCTGCTGCCTGCACGCTGTAGGGAAAGGGGACCAAGAGATCTGACGCCATCCATTTGCTTGGGATATCAACTTGAGTCCCCCTTCCAATATTCTGTGCTAAAAGGCACACGAGTCGTTTTCAGGATGTCATTGCCGGCTGAGCCCTGAAGAGGAAATTTATTTTATTTATTCCTTTTAGCCGGCGGGCTGGGGGTCTCCCCAGAGTTCTACCATTTTTAAATCCAGTCTTTCTTCTCTCATACCTTAGTTTCAGAGGCCCGGGGGACCTGCTTGAAGAGGTCAAGTTAAATAAAATCCAGGAAAGGTTTCTCAACACTTCAATGGGTCCGAATCCCAGGAACCAAGGTTAGCTAAGAATTCTCAAGTTTCTAGGCCTCAAGGCTGCAGAAATGACACCCATCCAAATTCAAGTATGCATAAAAGCCACGTTTTCAAGATGCCAATTAAAGGAAATTTACACTTTCTTTAGGCACTGGTCATATGCACACATACACACCCACCCCACCCCCCCAGAACTGAAGGCCGAAAATGCATTTTCCACTTTCTAGTGGCTGTTTCTGGATTTGCACACGTGGGTACAAGCAACACTTAAGAATCCCTTGAATAAAAAACATAGGCCCCCATCATATAAACAGCACCCCTTTTATGACAAGGAACCAAATAAAGGCTTAACCGTTTCATCAATAAATCAATTTATTTAAAAGAATATGTTACAATTAGTTGTACTAATTGACTTTTACCAAACAAGTTTTTTTTTTTAGGATGGTTAGCTCTAAAGAAGGTGAAAAACGCCCCAAACCCCCCCCCCCCCATCGCATCTCTTCAAGCCTTTTCTTCCTTCTTCGCCACGGTTTCCTTCTTCACACCCGAAAATTTCAAATAAAAATAGAAGAATATGCAGTGAAAATTACAATTAGAATTCTGTCAAATAAATTAAACAGCGAGAGACACACACGCAGAGCATTGGGGAACCCAGGGCTTAAAAATATAGAGATTGACCCAAACCGATGATATTTAAAAAAAGAAAAAGAAAAAAAGGAAATTGGGGGTCAGACGGAGAGGTTGTTCAGCCTAATCCTTTGATAGCAGACCGTGGTGTTAAAGCACGCACAATTCTGTAACAGAAACAATCGAGCCCGAAAGTGTGATTCCACGCACTGTTATTGCTGTTGGAAGAAAAAAAACAATGGGGATTCTTTTTTGGGGGGCAAAATGCCTTTTTGACATGCTGCATCTGAGAGGAACGGAGAAGGGAACACCCAGGCACGCCCCAAAGGGAGAAAAAGCCGCCAACACTGCGTTTTTCTCAGAAACGGGTAAACGGGTTGCGGCTCGGAACAGGCGTCCGCACAGGCTCGATGGAAACGAAGCCAGAAGACTTGAAAGCGCTTTCGATGCAGACACGCTCTTAGGAAGGAGCTTCGGTGCCTGAATGAGACTCTCAGTCCTTTCCTCCCCGTCCAGGAGCACATCCAGACCCCTTCGATCCCGCTACCCTCTGAAACTTGGATATCGCTTGCACCCAGAGCTTTAAAACCTGGCAGGGTGGCCGTGGGAGCCAGGATCCTGAATCAACCGCTAAAGCTTCATCCCCAAAGCGTTACCCTTGTTAAAAATCAAGGAGAGGAAGATATTTTGCTTCGGTGCTTTCCAAGTGTTATTACTTCATGCGTATACCCCCCGTCTACTAAACCCATCACAGCCGAATTTGAAGTCAGGACGCCAAAGCCCTCAGCTTTTCTTGCTGTTGTTTCCTTTGGGCTCAAGCAAGGTGCTAGTCCTTAAGGAGGCGAGCCTGCATGCAAAACACCCATGCTGCTTTTGAGCTATGGTCTCCTTCCAGCAAATCCTGCTAGGTGGGCCACGCGGGCTCTCAAATTCTGGCAGCTGGAGTCTCAGCGCTCCAGAAGGAAACCCCGGCACGGATGGCCCTTCTGGCCATTATCCGTTGGATCAGTGGATTCTCAGGAGGCAACTGTCCATCCTTTTAATAGGAAACCCATCTGAGGCTTATACAGCTCGTGCCTTTCCTCTTGATTTCTAAATCTGAACAGCCACGTAGACTCTGGCAAACATCCCAGATGGGCCTCTTGGCCACGGAGCAATTGCATATTTTTTAGTGCATTCAGGAGCATCTCTTGTCATCGAGTGCCTGTGGCTGCCAGCATTCCCTTGCCACCCTGTGATCCAACGGACACCTTTTCTACCATCCCAGGCACGTGCCACTGCCAATTTTCTCTCTCCGACCCTGAAAACACAGCCACCATCTCCAGATGCCGGGGACGGCCACGCCGGCCTTCCCGTTCCTGCAGCCTGGCCAAGAACAGCCCCAGTCTGGCTGCCTGACCATTGTTGTGGTTAGCAACTGGCTGCCCCGGGACAAACCTGGCCTCGGCCGCTGAGCAACAAGTTGGCAAAAGGGCTTTGGCAGCGAAAAGTAGCATTTGCTTGCTCAAGGGGAACTGCGGGCGTAGAACAAATTCTCACCCCTACCCGCCGCCGTAAGCTGGTTGCAGGTTCCACCCTTCAGACTACTGAAAAGGAGAAAAAAAATATCTCTCCCACTTCTCAGCCACACACAAAAGCTGAAATGCTGAAATAGGAAACCAAGGAAGTTTTAATACCACGTGGGGAGGGGGGGAAGAGGGGGAAGTTACAAGCACAGAAGCCGAAACTGAATTTTGCACTTCACAGCAAAGGATCTGTCGTATCCCCGTTGCGTAAACGCACACTTTGCCATCATGGCTCCCGCTTAATCCAAAGGTTTGGTCAAAACGCTCTAACGCTTCAAAGTTCAAACTTCAACGCTGGGCGAGGAGCTACCTAAACTGCAAATTCAGATTCCTCGCCAGACTGCAAAATCTGGGTTGTCTTTTGGACAGGGCTCAAATTGCATTTCAGCTCCAGGGAATTCCTAGACGGGACACAAGAAGGGAAGCTGATTTTCCCCTCCTCACCTCCTCGCAGAAAGACAAGTGCCTCTAACATAACAGCCACCAATATGAAAAATTATATATATGTATATACGGGCGTGATAAGTTTGTCTATATATATATTTGTTTTTACATACATACATATATATTCCAAACAGTGCAAATGGATGTACGAGTCTCCATCCAGTTGTTAAAAGGAAAAAAAAAAGAGAGAAAAAAATGTTCAGCGCCGTCTACCTTTCAACAACAGGTTACTCCAAAAAAGGCAGGGGACAAACTATAAAAAAAACAAACAAACCAGGTTTGCTGGCCACAAACCAGGTGCCCCACTCCCTTGATCTGGATCATGGTGGTCTCCCTGCCCCCCCTCCCCCCTTGCTTAACAGGACATTCACAAATGGAATTAATATGAGTTTAATACAATAAACCATTTCCCTCTCTCCCTCTCTCTCTCTTTTTCCATTTTGAAAAGTGTTAATTTTTCAGGAAGGGTCGGGAAAGGGATAATACGTTTTTGTCGGTCGGTTGCCCAAAGTGGTTCAGGTCGCAATGTCTCTGTGCTGCGTCCGCATCATCTGAAAGATGTTCTGGAAGAAAAAAACGAGAAGCGAAAAAGGAAAGATACCGAAAGCAGGGGGGGAGGGCGTGCCGTTTCCTCTAATGCACGCGGATCCAGCTTCTCCCAGAAGTGAGAAGTGGGACGCACACACACATGCACACAGAACAGGCATGTTCTCAGGAGGATCTTGCGGCCCCTCTTTGAAATGTCTCTCCAGGGGACAGGCAGAGAACCTGGAGTGCTCCCATGGGGAAGGGCTGGGAATAAATTCAGGGGGTTGCACCGAGGGGCCCCTCCTGCTGCTGGTTTCTCATCTGGGGGGATGTAAATGGGGGGGAGAGGGGGAGGAAGGCCCGCAGCACCGTGGCCTCCCTCACTGACCAGACACGGTGAGCCAGTCCTTCCTTCGGACAGAGAGGGCCCCCTATTTCAGACGCCCGAGCCCCCAACGGCCACGGACAAGTGCTCAGGCATCGAATCCTTCAGCTAACGCTCCGTTTCTCCCCGGACCCCCGTCTCACCTTGCTGCACATGCTGTCTTTGCTGCAATTCTTGTTATCCTTGTCGGTGGCTTCCTCTTCCACCTTTTGAAAGGCGAGATTTGGGGGGAGGTGAGGACCGCAGACAAGCCCAGAAGCGCCTCTCTTCAGCCTGGTGGAAGACCTCCCCTGGCCTCTAGGGAGGGAGGGAGGGAGGGAGGGA